TCAGAAGTCTGCCCTTAACTTACTTGAACAAATCCTTCTTCAAAACCACGCTATTTAGGCAATATGAGTCAGTAATTGCAAGCGAACCTATAAAGCTATTACTTACTTGGCTTGCCTGTGATCCTTCTGGAGTCTACCTTGATGAATTCGTTCCGTCTGTGTCAGCTCCGTCATTTCCCAGTCGTCAAAGAAAGACAACTCATTGTTGATATCTTCAATCTTTTGCCGAGTGATTGAAACTGTGTCGCTGAGTAACTGGACACGATTCGCGCGTCGTCCACGCCAGTCGTTCATGGCTTCTTCGGCTTGAATGTCCTGTATACCAGCTGTTAGCAAACAACTCATTTGTAATATAAGACAGGAAAATGAAGGCGATAAGGTGTTCTCACATCGGACTTTGTGCAGATTATTCTAACATTGGACAACCCGGCTCGTTGTGCGAGTTCAAAAACGCTTTCCACACCGACATCTGTAGTTGCCCGTCCGATGTTACAGACTGCGAATATCTCGTCACACTTAACCAAGTATCTTTCGGTAATAAGCCTGCGTGCCGAGTTCGAGTCATGGAGACCTACAAATCACATGTTAGAGATAGTTGGATCATGCACAATGAGGCGGTAGCTTACCAGGAAGATCGACGAGGATTAGACCCTTACTCAAAATATGCGAGGAGAGGAACACCCTATGCCGTTTAGAATACTTCGTTTTCATGATCTCTGGAAATTAGGCGTAACTTACCTGATCTTACGGACAAAAGGCCATGCAGCTGGTGTCAATGTATCTGTCGACTCAGATGTCAGATAAGCCAGGAAGCTAGCACAATCATCCTGCGAAGCCTTTTCATGCCTTCCTTCAAGTGGAAGGTCTATGTCCTGCAGCCAAGACCTAAAGGTCTCCAAGACAGTGTTTTCCGACTCGTTGATAAGGAAGTCTTCGCTCGCCAGCTGGCCTCGAAACATAGACCGAAAAGTGTCGCGAGCGACGTTGGCCTGGCCCTCAATATCGACAGCTGCAGCCCTCCCATCATTTTCCCTTAAATCTCCCCCGCTAAGGTGAAACAAACGGTACGGCTGAAGCAACTCCTTCGTCTGCTCCATGAGATCATCCTGACTGAACAAGTCCACCTCGATCGCAAAACCGTCCCCGTCTGTATAGTGATACTCAGTAACAACGCAGGTGCATGCGGCCCCGCTATTGCTCTATCAGACGTTAGCTGCTATTTACTCAGGCTCTGCACAAGATCATCTATAGCTTACTGTTCTGGCGAGACGGTTTTGATCCAACAGGGAGTTCAAGACGCTACTTTTGCCTGGGTCCGTCAGATAAGGTTGCTTCACTCATGTTGCAAGATGCTCACCAACTCCAGAGTCTCCCACAAACCCAACAGTTCGTATCGAAGGTCCTTGGAAGTGGGACAGATTAAGTGCTTGGCCATGGAGTCGTTTGATTGTTGAATTGGGGTCGATGTGGAGGGTGCTGTCTTCAAGAAGGCTTGCAAACTGGGTCATCAGTGCCTTCGCATCCTCAATGGCACTTTGGACCGCAGGGTTGTAGAAGTGGCTTTCTGGCAGCTCCTCGTCCTTGACATCATATTGCGCCAGGGGTACTTCAGTACCCGCCCGTGATCGACGAGGGGGACATGGGCTTGAGGAGCCTCGCCTGAGAGTAGGCGCAGGACTACTTAATGGGGGGCTCAGTCGCCCAGTATTGATGAAGAGATTCGATAGTCTAGCTCTAATTTCCGATAATCCCAGATCTGATGGGGTGTGACCGAGGTCGCTAAGAATAAGCCGATCTAGACGATCAGCAATACTTCCAGTCTCAGAGAAGTTCTCAGCTGCATCAAGTCTCCCAGGACTACTATCAGCAGCTCTGGATGAAAACGGAGAGAACAGAATTGACGGCGACGGGGAAATCGACACAGGCCTCGAGCGAGTGGTTGGTGTGCGGGGAGTCGAAGCTCCAGATAGAACCTCAGCCCATGCAGCAGTCTCAACTGAAGGTAAAGGCTCATCTGGACACACTTCGCTTGGAAATCTAACTTCTGGAGATAACAGGGAGCCATCCCTAATGATAGATGGAGAGCGACTCGACTCGGGAGTGAATACTGGGGTGGACGATCCCCAAGACGCCATCGACGCTGCTACTGAATGGTGCCTTGATGGAAATATGATCGGCGCAGGATTTGAGAACATTAATTCCTCAGGAGAAAAGGCGGTCTGAGGCGGGGGCTCAGAAGCCACAGACCTCGATGAGCCGGCCACAGCCGGGGAATTTCGACGCTGCTGCTCCAAGGTTAACTAAGGGATCTCACATGGTTTGGCAAAACAAAAAGTAACAGTATCGCGAATTCAAGGAGAAGAACTCACAACTCTTCTCATCGTTCAAATGATCAGTGGTGAAATGAAGAACCACGGGAAACTGTAGATTCAGGCGCTTTTTTGATGTGGGCATGCCGTTCGCCTTTTAACATAGGTTGATGCTCACTCCTCCTTGGCTGCGCCATTCAACCTAGGCTGAAAAAGGAAGCCTCATTACGGGGTTTTTCTAGTAGAGGAAGCTGATTCCGTAGGGGTGTCCACTCCAGAGTAACAGCACGCCTTTTCCCAGCAGGGGCTCATGCAGGTTGGAGTGGCGGAAGCCTCCTGTTGGTTTCAGCTGGATGTCGCGGGTCCTCAGCCGGACCAACACGGATGGACCTGCTGGTTGTAATAAGCGCCAACAGAGCCGTTTTATCATTTTTCGTATGAAATCGAGTCAGTTACTTGCAGTTTTCTAGTTCTTGGGTCGGATTCGTACTCATTGTCACATCAACATGTACAGAGCGCCGAGTCGGACTACTCGAAATCGACCAGCTGAAGAACGAATGAGATCATATCGTGGCATCTACGCATGATTAGTGTACAAAACTCTGCTCGAGAGCGCTTATATATTCTACTATCAGCCTACAGGAAATGATCTCGTTGTTATTTTGAAAATTCGGCGCAATCGCTGCTTGTCAATTGTGGTCCCACTTTTGGCGCACTTGTGCAGATGCGGCGCAAAGATTGCTTGAGCATGAGAACCCACGATCAAGTCTTCACATCCATGCCCTAATCTTCGCCATACAGGAAGGCAGATCATGTCAGAACTGAATCCCAGATTTCATGTGTACGGCCTGAGGCTAAGCCTATTATAGTCCGAGCTAGACCCTTTGAGGTGTTAGCCATAGCAAAATATCACTACATTCTTCAGGGCCGTGTAAGTTTGTGCCAACGAATTCTAAATAAAAGGTTTTCTGAAAAAAGAATTATATCTCTCCGCTAAATATGAAATCAGAAGATTCATATCAGTGCTAACACAAGCCGAGTTAGCTAGATTCATAGCTCCTGTTGGAAAACATTCAGACATCCAAGCTTTAAATACCTTTGCATTTCTGAGGCATCCCAAGGCAAGCAAATGTAGAGTTAGCATGGCTTCCCACGAAATCCATTCATACGCGCGCTCTCCATAAATGAATCCGATTCAGCAAGACACGGTTAGTCTTTCTGCAGATTCATTTTCATACTACACAGCATAAGCCTCAACACTCTTTCACCTTACATTGTAGCGGCTCTCCCTGCATTATGGCATTATGGAGTCTTATAGTACGAACAGCGTCATGACATAATATACGCCGTTTACGAGAGTCCCTTATATTCGTAGACCGCGGTACATGCAATGCCTTCTTTCGCATCTCTTTTTTCCTCGCACCTGCCTCGGTGTAATTGACTGAGAATTAATCTTCCTTCTGATCTCCACTACTAATCTTGAATTCTGTCAGCTTGCTGAGCTCTCTTCCGTAACGTCTCGAGATTTCATTGGCTGCTTTATTTGATTCTCCAAGCCACTTCGCATTACGGCTCGCATAACGAGGGGTGTGGGGTATTCGCCCGATAATCCGCCAAGTGATTCAAGTCCTAACTGCAGCCACTGCAATTAATGTTTACTAAGCCCTAGATAGAGGTGATTACACTGGGCTGGTATGATTTGATGATGTGCTATCTAACACGCAGTAATCAGCTGGCATAAATCAATGTGTTGTCTCAGCAACTGAGACTGCGTCGGACATAATGAAGAACGAGAGCTCCCTTGCCTTGTCCACCTCAGGGCTCTGTAATGGCAGAGTCACCAGCACCTCAATTACCACCTATGTGGTTATCGCAATTTCTGAGAGCACATTTAATACGTTGCATAAGACGAATTCTTTCCTAAGTATAGAGCCTCCCACACTGTTACGACCTGTGAACAAGGATAATAGTGTTACGACCTGTGAACAAGGATAATAGTGTTACGACCCGTTATGCATGGATAACAGTTGACCGACCTACTTGGGCGTCGGGCGGCTAGGACAGGACATTTGTACTGCAGGATCACGGGAACAACAGGAACTCACTCGGTAACGGAAGAACTATGGTCTAAGTCATGTGATGATAAGATAACGATCATATTGGATCAATATGATCCAACACGACTTGGGGGCCAAACGATCATTCTGGATCGGAATGATCCAGGTCGACCCAAGGTACAAAGGAATATGTTCAGAATTAGACTTATATATAATGACCCTGAGCCTGGCTTATGGTCAGACTTCCATAGCTCTTCAGCAATCAACTTAGTATTCATCCTCACGGATACTCTCAGCTTACCTTCACTGCGAATCACTTATTGAGTCTAAGACTGATCACCTTGGCCTCTGAAGAACCGATCTACTACAGCCTACGAACTACAACCTACGACCACAACCCAGTATACTGTTAGAACGTATCAATCCCCAGCTTCTGTTAGCAGACCCTACTGTCGGATAGCTGACCGTAACACTTTGATTGCTCCTGTTCAGTAAGTTGACCATTAATTCCTACTAACAGTAAAGAACGACAATGTCTTCCCGCGCCTCTGTTAAGTCGCCTACCCTGGGATCCTCGTCCACTTCAGGAGGACGAGCCACCCAAAACCTAGCCTAGGAACTAGGAGACCAGAAGATGAAGGACGACTCAGACAGCGAGGACGACACCGAGGAACTTAAGCGCCAGCTCAATAAGACCAACAGCGACTTCAAGGCAATGCGCGAAATGTTCAACCAGAACGCCGCAGCCCTTAGCGAACTCCAGGAACAAGCCTGCAAGAACCAAGATCTAGAGAAAGAAGTCGCCACCCTCCGAGCTGCCGCCAACGTCATATCTGCTCCAGTCGAAGGATGAGAACGCCTCAAGCTCAACACGCCTTCCACTTTCGACGGGACCCTAGGACAACTTAAAGGACACCTGGTATAAGTTCGAACCTACCAGGCCTTCCACATAAACACCTTCCAGAACGACACCAAACGCGTTATACACGCAGCCACCTTCCTTTAGGGACAAGCCCTTGCCTGGTTCGAACCCCTTCAACAGGAATAGCTTGACAACCCTGTCGAAAAATACAGCTAAGAAGTTAAGGATATCTTCTTCAGCTTCACAGGCTATGTTAAGGCCCTAGAATCTCTCTTCCTTGATCCTAATAAACAAAGACAGGCTGAGCGAGACCTATCCCACCTACGACAAACCAAGTCAGCTACGCTCTACGCTGCAGAGTTTAGGCGATTAGCTGTAAGACTCTATATAACCGACAAAAGCAAAGTTTTTACCTTTTATTAAGGACTTAAGGATGATGTCAAAGATGAAATAGCCAAACTAGAGACACCTCCTAGCTTCCTCGCCTATGTTGAACATGCTATTAAGGTTGACAACTGCCTCTATAAACGATGAAAGGAACGAGGAGAGAAATGATAAAACCTGAATTCAGGACGTAAGTACTAATGGCAGCCTCAACAGAAGTTTAACAGCCAGCGGAACGACAACAGACCCTGCAACAACTGGAATAACACCTGCCAGAGCACTGCCTATAGATAACACAGCGGACCTATGGATCTCAGCATGATGACCAAACCTAACAACAAAAAACCTTAGAACCCTAAGTGCTACAACTGCAACAAGCAAGGCTATATCGCTAAAGACTGCGGACAGCCTAAGAAGCTCCCCTGGAGACCAGTGGCAGAACAACCTCAACAAGTCAATATAATTGCAAAAGCCCTATATGCATCCTAATTATAGACTAGATGCTACGACGACAACTGCTGAATTCACCTCAAAGACAAAGAAATATCAGGACACTACCTAAGGGATAGCAACCCTGGACGGTCTGGTTATAATATAACCATCCCAGACACTCGCCCTAGGACCCTGGTAATAATGCATTCCAGTAACAGCAAAGTGGCTAGAAAACCAGTTGAACAACTTAATGAGATGCTACGAATTCAGCGATTAGAACTAATCACCCCCCGCATAACTAGCCAGCAGCTCCACTACGAAGAACAACAAATCAAGAAGGAAATAGAGCTAATCCAGCAAGAAGACGACAGATAAGTATAACTATATCAACAACAAGAATCAGAAGAAGAACCAGAACACCAACACAATCCTCTGATGGAACAACAACTCCTCAGTATGACTAACAACTGGACTTTCAGAGAAGGAGAAAGCTCTTCCTATAACTCAGATAAACCTCGCGACGTTGCCTGATAACGCGCTCAGACAGAGATCACCTATAGGTTCACCCCCAGTGTGGACGACTCCAGCTCTGAAGAGGAACCTGACGACCAGGAAGGAAGAATCAAGCAACTTCTGAGATACTAAGAAATCGACATACTTCAAGATAAGCAATAACGCCACTTCTATAGCACCTCAGCAGCCTAATAAGACTGAGGCTACACCCCTCAGCTATATACGAAAGATCATCCTGCGCTGAGAAGCAACCACCAGCTTCACTGAACCCTCTTCTAGCCCTAGTGCTTCCACGACAAATGCAAGGAATATATAGAAGAAAAGCATAACTACTAGTTCTACCCCAGAAGACATAACGACAAACCTATCTATGAAATCTACTTAACCTCCGTTATGATCGGATGGACTATAGTACTGTTTGAAGACAACCTTGCAATCTTTAGACCTAGTCCTTAGTTCCCTATGAGATATCAACATAACGACAACATGAAATAGGACGAATGCTAATAAGATGAATGCTAAGTCCACTACTAAGAAAAGGCATAAGCCTAGAGAATCGCAAAGAATAGACCTAGACCCCCACAGATCAGGATCTGTAAAAACAGCCTCGCAAAAGCATGATGAGAGGGAAAGCAAATCACCTACCTAGGACAACCAGAGCAGTTAAAAAACTAGACTCGCCTACTGACGACAGATCACAACAGGCAACAAACATAAGATCTATTCACTAAATGTCATAAGGATATAAGGGTAATATCAAACTCAAAGTTACTATTAATCAGCAGACAACACTCTTGCTGATCAACAGCGGAGCTAAAGCAAACTTCATTGCCCCCCAAGCTATCAATAGGCTAGAAATACGATGGGGAGGAAAAGAACGACCATATCAGTTACACACGGCAGAAGGAGAAGAATTCAAGTACGAAGGAGGTACTATCTATAATGAGACTGCGCCCCTCGAGATGAGCTACCTGAATCGAAAAGAAAGAATCCAATTCGATATTGCCAATCTAGGAACATACGACATAGTGCTAGGACTACCCTGGCTACAAATAAGCAACCCACGGATAGATTGGAGCAAAGGCTAACTCTATTAGGACTATGATGATTTAGTCCCTGAGCGGCCCTGTTAGAACCAGGCCTCAAACGGATCAATACGATAAGGAACAGCAAAACGATACCTCTGTTACCTCAAGGCAAAAGAAGCTATATCATAACCACTGATAACGATAGATTTCAAACAGAAGAATGATCCACTTCTGTCTATCCCAGAAGAATACAGAATTTATGAGAAACTCTTTGCAGCCAAATTAGAAATAGGACTACCTGAACATACTAGTTTTGACTACGAAATACCCCTCAAAGAAGGAAAAGAACTATGATTTAACAAAATCTACAGACTTAACCAGACAGAGATAGAAGCCCTAAATAAATATCTTAACGAAAATCTTAAGAAGGGATATATCAGACCTTTAATATCACCAGCAGGAAGTCTAATCCTATTTATACCTAAGAAAAACAGAAAGTTATAACTATGCATTAATTACTGCATACTTAATGAGATGATAATTAAGAACTGCTATCCACTACTGCTTATCAATAAAATGAGATAACTCCTCTATGGAGCTAATTAGTTCACAGCCCTCAACCTCAAAGGAGCCTACAACTTGATCAGAATAAAATAAGGAGAAGAATAGAAGACCGCCTTCAGAACACAAAAAGGATATTTTGAGTACCTCATCATACCCTTCAGTCTTACTAACGCCCCTGCAATATTCTAGAATATAATTAACTAAGTTCTACGCAAATATATTGATATCTGCATAGTAGTCTATCTTAATAATATCCTCATCTTCTTATCAACACTTGAGAAATATAAAGAAGACGTACACCACGTCTTATAAGCCCTCTAAGGAGCTAAGCTGTTAGTTAAACCTGAGAAAAGCGAATTCCACATATAGAAGGTGGAATACCTTGGATTCACTATCACCCCTAGAAAAGTCTATATATCAGAAAATAAAGTTAAAGCTATCAAGGAATAGCTGGTACCTAATAACCTTAAGGAAGTCCAAGGATTCCTAGGTTTTGTTAACTTCTACTGCAAATTTATTAAAGACTATAGCAAGATTAACGCAGCTCTTATAAGCCTCAGCTGCAAAGACACGCCCTTTATATAGGAAGAACCATAACGAACAGCATTCCAGAAAATCAAGGACCTCATTGCTAGCAAACCCATCCTGATCATTCTAGATCCAACAAAGCAATTCGAAGTAGAACCAGACGCATCCGACTATGCGATTAGAGTGCAACTATCTCAATAAGATTCAGAAGGGCGACTACACCTGTGCGCCTTCTTCTCTCGCAAACTCCACAGACCTGAACTCAACTATCAGATTCACGATAAGGAACTTATGGCAATCATCAAAGCCTTTAAGGAATAGAGACCTAAGCTTTTAGGAACCATCTACGAAGTACTTATATATTCAGACTATAAGAACCTTTCACACTTCACAACTTCGAAAGTGTTAAATTAACAACAGATTAGATAGTCAGAATTCTTATCAGAATTTAACTTCTGAATTATCCACCGCAAAGGATCAGATAATAGCAGAGCTGACGCTCTTAGCTAACAACCAGACTATAACATCTTAGTACCTAAAGAAACCTAGGTGATTCTCAAAGGAAATAACGATAGAGACCTAATGCTAGCAACTAAACTCTTGATAATAGCCAGACGATCTAGTACTAGCCTGCTTAGCAAACTAGACGACAAAGCAATTATGGAGTTTTATGCTCGCCCTGCATATAGTCACCAAGGAATCACAAAAACCTAGAAACGACTATAACAATAATATAGAGAAAAAGTCACTAGAGAACGAGTGGCAAAAGCAATTAAGGATTATGAGGTTTGCCTCAAAAGCAAACCTGCTCGTTATCAACCTTATGGTATGCTACAACCCTTACCTATGCTGCAAACAGCCTGGCAATCTATATCCCTCGACTTCATCGTCAAATTACCAAAGTCTTAAGAACCCCTTATGGGAACACACTTTGACAGCGTTCTTGTTATCGTGGACCGACTTATAAAGTACGCCTACTTCATTCTGTATAAAGAAGCAAGTAACGCTGAAGAATATGCCTACATATTTCTTAAATATATTATCGCTAACCACAGAACGCCTAGAGAGATTATATCAGACAGAGATAAGATCTTCACTTCTAAATTCTAGAAGTCAATTATATCACAACTCAGCATCAAATAATTAATATCCACTGCATTCCACCTGCAAACCAACAGACAAACAGAACAAATCAACCAAATCCTCGAAACATATCTCCACGCCTATGTCAACTATAACTAAGACAATTAGGTTATATTGCTACTAATAGCCTAGTTCGCCTACAACAGCGCAGTAGGAGAAAGTACTAAGGAATCCCCCTTCTACCTCAACTATAGATTTAAACCAACCGCCTATAGAGAACCCCAAACAGGCCCAGCTGCAGTAAAAGCTGTCGCCTCAATACGCTAAATCAAGGATATCCAGGAAAATGCATGCAAAGAACTCAAATTCGTACGACGAAGAATAACAAAATTCAGCAACAAACGAAGGATTAAGGGACCAACCTTAAAAGAGGGAGATAGCGCCTATCTTATATGGCGAAACATCAAAACAAAGCGACCAAACGACAAACTTAACTATAAAAAACTCAGACCTTTCAAAATTTCACGAGTAATCTCACCAGTTAACTACAAACTAGGACTCCTAGAAACCATGAAGTGTCACCTAGTATTCTATGTCTCACTCCTCAAACCAGCACCACATGGATCACAGACAAACGATATTATCATCGTCGAAGATAACGAACCAGAGTATAAAGTCGAACGAATTATTAACTATCTCAAAGAACCAGAAGGGTATTAATACCTCGTCAAATAGAAAGGATACAGACATAAAGACAATATATAGGAACCAGCTAAAAATATCACTAACGCAGCAGAAGAACTTACGATCTACTGGCAACAACACTAAGAACGAGGAGCCACACTAATACCTGTTATACTGGTCCAAAAGAGCGCTAGATATAAACGAATTAGGCACCTATATCGCTTCACCAGACCACCTACTGAAACCGATCGACTGCGATAAGGAAAACTATTTATCCGCCTAGGAACACCAGAAGCTAGTTAAGAAACCTCAGAAGAACCTACGTTTAGAGGGATGCCTAAATCAACCACCCCAGTACCTAGAGAAGACTAATCCAACTTATTCTGAGCACCCCATAGCGACAAATCCTCTATCACCTGGGACTCCTGAGCTTCCAGAGCATGTTCCTCAGCCTCCCATTCATCCACAGACTGCATTCCCCGATGAATCAGATCCAAACCACGCTCCTTTAAGAACCTTTTCTGTCTCTAAAGACGAGATAAACGACCTAGAGCGGCAGCAAGCTGAGTCTGCAGCACCTCTAACGCCTCCTCAGCCTCTTCCTCCTCCCGCTCCACTTTCTTTTGCTTATTAAAACAACAATTCACTACTGCAACAAATCAGCAACACCAGGGAACACTAAGGTGCTAAGGTACTTATAAGCATTTGCCATGTCACCACTATCACAGTTTGAGAAACCCTGCTTTACACACTCGCCATAACGCTTTAAGTTAGCGAGGTCTATTTTGCACACTTAATTATGCTGAAAACAAGGAGAATAAGGCATTATATTATAACTATAGTGATTAACTAGAGCACTGAGAGCCTTACAGTTGCACTAAATCTAAGCATAACGAGTCTCATGAGAATCTGATTTCTAAATGCAACCTGATATAGTGTCAGCATCATGAGTAAATCAGGAAGCATAATTGACGAAACCCTAACCTAGGACTAACAACCTACTTATGTTAGGTCTTGAGGATAAGACCTTTAGAGAGGGGACCTGATGTTACAACCTGTTATATATGGATAACAGTTGACCGACCTACTTAGGCGTCAGGCGGCTAGGATAGGATATTTATACTGCAGGATCATAGGAACAACAGGAACTCACTTAGTAACAGAAGAACTATAGTATAAGTTATATAATAATAGAATAAGAGATTAGATTTATACGCTAAGAATATAGAGGCTATCTTTAGTATA